GGGTGCCCATCACACTTTGAGTACCTCTTTAAACTTTCTAGCACAGTAGAATATTCCAGAATTATCTTGTACTCTCCCTGCCCCAGCTCTGGAATCAGCCGTTCCTCCAGGGAGCCCCAATGCCTTTCAATGGGGAACAGTAATATTTAGGAACCGGGAGAGGAGTTTGCTGTCTGTGCCCAGTGCTCTTGGAGTCTCACGGTGCCCAGGCTTCTCGCATGGAGCCAGGAACTATGTAGATATGTACATATGTTTGCATACATACCTGTGTTTAGACTTACACTTCCAACTCCAGTCCAACACTAAAGAATTGTTTCTAGTTTTCTCCCTTGTCAAATTTGTAACTTCTCTCACAGTGAGAAAACTAGCTTCCATATGTACTTGTTCAATCCCTTCCTCTGTATCAACTTAAATTGAATCACGACGCACCCCCTTTCCCCTGTGGACACCCTCCTTACCCTCCTGTGTGCTCCAGCATCCTGTGTCCGGTCCCACCCTGCACTCAGATCCCCCACCCCCGACAAGAGTCCTCTTCACCCCACCTGGGTTCTGATACCCACATGGGCACCATTCTTACCTGCTTCAGGACCCAGTGTCCTGTGCTGGGCTACCCTCCTACGGATGCATCCCTGGGGCTCTAGTACCCCAGGCTGGACCGCCTTCCTGCATAGATCCCCTCCTTAGCCTTCTCATACCATCAGCCTGCCCGTCTGCTGGGGTACTCCGCTCCTGCCCTGCTCTGGGCAGTCTTCCCGCACTGCCACCCTGCTTGCCCCACTGAGCTTCAGCACCCTGTGTTGGGCTGTCTCTGCGTGGGCACAGTGTCCTCATCCATGTCAGGCTCTTGCATCCCATGCCAGGCCAGCCTCCCTTCCTGGTGTCTGCCTCTTTTAACCCACCTGGGCTCCGACACCCTGCTCCAGGCCACTGCAGCTCCCCGCCGCCCATCAGTGAGGACACACCTGCCTTACTTGGCCTCACCTAGAGGCTTCTGGACTGAATGTTCAGGAAGAGGAAGGATGCCTTCTTCTTTTAAAGGAACAAATCATACACTTCCTTCCCAGACTTGTTTCAAGTTTACATGGCATTAACAAGATGGATCCCTAACTTGAAAAATCACCTTCATCCTCTAATCTCCATGAAGAAAACACCACGGAAAGAAATGAACATTCACCCTGGAATAAATCACACAATGAGCATTTGTTCCTTGTTTTAGCCTCAGCATCTAAGATAGCACCTGGCCTTACTGAATGAGTGAGTGAGTAGGTGAACAGTGAGAAAGAATTTACCCCAACACGTTCACATTAAGATCTAGATGGAGACCAAAGAAATGAAACAGAGCTCCAACTGCTAGTCTCTGAGCACATGGACAAGCTGAGAACGACACATCTTTTTGGTCTTTGTGTGTAACTGACCATAGTGAAGAAGGATCATGTCTTGCTCCTCTGTGTTTTCACACGGGTTGTGATAACTTCACATCAGCTGTTACCATTTGTTTTAAGTGGCTTTTCATTCTTGCATGAATACGTGCATAGTAAGCAACTTCAGGGCCATCACCAAACAGTTGATTTTAAGAAATGGAAAACAAGACAAAAAGATAAAATTAATAGGCAAGAATAAAAGCCACTGACATGAAAACAGTGTATTTTTTAAGTATGTACAATTCCACTATGGCTACAATTTTTAAAAAAAATGCCTGCTATCCTCTCCCTCAATTCAAGTCCAAGGTTGTAGCAGAGTAACATAATACTGTGTCATAACAGAGCAGTGTCTGTCCTCCGCTTCAAAGGCTCAGGGTCAAAGATCAAGTTCTGAAGAATCCTGGGAAGGTGGACACTGATTCTGTGAATTAGTGGTGCCAGTATCACCCACTGCTCCTGCATCTCCTGGGAGAGCATGTCTCCTAGGTGACTTCTCCGTGGGCTTGATGCATCTGAATTAAACTAAAGGACTGTTGGGAAAGGCAGGTTCTGATTTTCCACTGGCGACCTCCGTAGTCCCTGCTGTCTGCTTCACGCTGTTATCATCACGGCACATTTACCTCCTTCCTGGGGAGTCCACATCATGCAGCAGAGCAGCTGCTTTTGTGACCACAGAATGGCAACTGGACTGTTGCAAAAGCTCTACCTATTTCTGTTAACAGTAGTAATACTCCCAACATCTAGTCTTAAGAGCTTTAAGTGTTCCTTCTTTCTATCAGCAATAATCCAATGAGATGAGTTCTATCATTATCCTCATTTGATGGATAAGGAAACTATAGGCACAGTGGTAGTGAGTAACTTGTCCAAGGTCACACAGCTGAATAATAGACTGCCAGGAGTCAAACCCAGGCAGTCGAGCTCCAGAGTTCTGCACTTGATAAGTGGCTGGTAAAAACCATAAGACCTGGCTGAAGTTATCCATCCAGGTTGTGGATTCCTCCTCAGGTCTTCCTTTTGTGGTCCACATTTGAAGAAGTGAGCCGTCTGTTACTGGAGGCAGAAAGGCACATTTTATCCATCCTAAGGCCAATAAGCAGAGAGCTTCTGGTCCTCGGGAATGGATAGCGTGTACTTATGTCCCCCTCTCAGATACAGAGGTGTGTTTGGTACTTGGTCATCAAAGCCAGTGCCCAGTCACCGAAGTCCCAGGAGAGATACCACCATGTTGATGATGTTGAGTCTGGGCCGTCGGAGCATCTGCAGGCTGACGCATGCTGTTCTCCCCACTCCAACAGAAGCCTGAGGCTAGATGTGAAGTTCAACCTGAACCTGGACTTCCCTGCTCTTTCCTACTTCATGGGCAGGGAGAACAAGAAAGAGGAAGTGAAGATTCAGGTGGATGTCCTGGAGAGGGGAGTCCTCAAGCAGCTGGCGTAGATATCCGACCCACCTTGACAACTGAAGCCTGAGTACTTGGAATAACAGTCTGGCAGCTGAACCTGTTTTCCTTGTTCCTGGGGAAATTCACATGGTTTTTTAGGGAAAGAATTGACTTGTGGTTTTCCTTACCAGTGATGTTTTAGATCAAAACTGTATGTTTGCGCCCAGGTGCTTGGATGGGTTTGAAGTGTTTCATGGGCTGTTTTGAGCCTTTGATGAGATAATTGCCCTGTAATCTGACTGCCTTTTCAAGATGCCCATCAACAAGAAAGTAGCTCAGTGGGGTGGCGAGAGGACACTCTGGGCAGGAGACGGAATTCTCTGCTTCACCATTTGTCCTGTCTCCCTGCTTCTGTTCCATCTGCTCTTTCCTCCAGGGGGCCTTGTAATCTGCTACTCTGTTTTCTCTGCTTTTTTAGTAAACAGCTAAACAACCTTAAGGCTAAAAAGAAAAAAGACACAAGCCATTGCTGCTGCAGAGGGATGGCCAACAGCTGGGACCTCGTTAGAAGTTCTCATAGTTATGGTTTTGAAGATTGTGCCTCTTTAGTAGATGTCACCCAGAAAAGTCACCTGAAAAGTGCTTTGTTCATTGATGGGCTGTGGGGCTTGAGTATCATTGATTGAGTGCAGTAAGTACCTTTGTCACTTGAAAATAGTGTATATGAGTGTGGCGGGGAGGTGTGTGTAAAGACTTCCCGTAGAGACCCTGAGTCCTGCCTAATCAGCTTAACTGTTAATGTGATTGGTGGGAGCTGTGGTTATGGTGCTCATTCCCCTCCTGAAGGGCCAGGCTGTGTTTTCTAGGGCTTTTGAGGCGAGCCATTAGCCACTAAACTGCTTGAAAAATGATGTCTGCATTGTGTGCACAGCTTCTGTGTGAACACAGTCACAGTCTTTTCCAGCGTAGCCATGGGGGAAAAGGGAGAACCAACGGCCTTGCCTCTGGTATCGGTGAACCTGTAGCCGCTGGACTCTGGAGAGATGGCATGTTCTATCTCAGATTTAAGAAACATAGAAGGTGAAGATCTCTTGCCTTAGGGCTCCAAAGATAATTTGACTGCTGAACAGACGGAAACATCACTTCTCTCATCAGTGAAATTGTTCCTCCTCCAGCTTAATGTACAGAAATGATGGGTGCCTCAGGACTCTGGGGTCCAAGGCAAAGGATGCAGCAAAATCACTTTCGTAGTTTGTTCCTGGGTGAAATTGGTAAACCTCGCCTTCTCTGCTTTGGGCTGCGGATCAGAGAGTGGAGCAGCCATAGTTCTGGAAAGGTCAGGAAATATGCACTTGGTTGCCATCCTCATCCTGGAACCCTACCTTCCCATCAGACCTCCACTTTTATCCCTCAGTGATTTTCGTATGCCTGTTGCCCAGCTACAAATTACTCTTCTCGAGTTCTCAAGGCAGTTGTGAACTGTTGTCCTTTCGTACTCTAGGTGCCAGGCATTCGTAGTCATTTTTACTGCTAACTTATTTGCATAGGTGAGTTCAGCTTGCGAAGGCAGCTCTGGTCTACATCGTGCGGAACACTTACATAACAGGAAAAGCCTTGGCTTTTAGGCCAAATTAGTTATGTTATTCCTGTAGATATTATACTGCCAGAGGGGACTACCAGGTGACCACCGGAAAAGTAGAGTGCTCAGTAATGACTTTGGTTTTATGAGGTCCACATGTGCAGCTGTCACCCTTTTAACATGGTGATGTCACTTTTATATCATCAGAGAATTCAGAAACTTACTAACGTGAATTATTTCTAGAACAATTTAAGGAGAAAAAATGATGATTTGGTTTCCGAATGAGTTAATATTTGTCACAAGTCATTTGTCACAAGTCATTTTCAGCCCATGTTCGTGGGTTAAGTCCTTTCCTCCTGTGTGCAGTCTTCTAAATCCCTTTTGTGCTAATGCAAGGTTGGCAGGAGCAGCCTCAGGAATCCACGTGTTGGTATCTGTGGATGTATGAAAGGCAGAGCTGCTAGCTAAGGCTTCTAGCTTTTTCTTCAAATAGGAAACAGCTGTGATTTTGCCCCCACATTAATTTTTCATGTTTCCTACCTACCTCATGGCTCGAAGTCACATATTTCATAAACCATGTTTATGCCACATCAAGGGGAGACTGCATGGGAAAGAGCTAACAAAACTTAGAAAAAGTCTCATCAACTCTTGCATGGCTTCATTTCTTAAATAATTCTTAATCATTTCACAGATGTTGGGATTTAGAGAGAGAGACCCATATAACTCAAGGCGATCATCTGCGTGTTATATTCATTAACACTGTATTCTAGAGTGATTTAAAAAATGTTTTGAAACAAAATAGGAAGAAGGATGTGATTATCAAGTAGCTATGTAGTTTGCAAGATAGCTTGTGTTACTGTTACTATGAAAAATTCATTGTTGTGAGGAATTAGGAATAAATACACGGTCCTTTTACCTTGGACAGGAAACTGTTTAATGTACAGAATTACAAAATACTAATATTTCATAAACCATACTTAACTAGTTTTTCCTTAGTTTCCATTTCCCTTGTATTCAGTGTTGATGTTTTTAACTAGCTCATGTGGGAATTTTAATATTTACTTAGTATACAAAATGTGTTTAAAGTAAGCATCTACTAAGAATTAAATGAAATGTGATTTGACAGAATCTCAATTCTGACTTTTTAAAAAGTGACAAAGCTAGCCATCTTTGAAATAGATGCTGAGAAAACTATGAAATGCTCCCAGGAGTATTAATAATTATTAGTATTTAATATACTTACATGTTCATATTTCTATTTAAAAATCTTTATATATGATATTTTATTTGTCCATATTTCTTTAATATGTGGAAATAATATAGAAAATAATAGGACTGAGCTTAAAGTTCACCTCTCTTTTTAACATTTGAAATCCAGCACTTAGGATGTGGTTTGGTATGCCATTGATTGTTTAATATATTTTTAAATGAATGAACAAAAATACTAATATAATTTTTAGGATTAATTACACCTCCTGAATAGTAAGAGATATTTGAACACTAGAAGAATAAATATTAATGCACATGTCATTTTATATTTTATCAAATTGGAGAAATATTGCAAAGTGGTAGGTAAATGTCAAGAGAAGATAATAAATGAGGGAATGTATGATTTTCACTTCACTTTCAACAGGTAATTGAAAGATCTTCACATAGACCAAAAAGCTGATGTATAGGTTCCTTTGACTGCATCGCCATTGGCAAGCCTAGGGAGTATTTCTAAGGGTATTGAGAATTTTCTTAGGTATGTTTTGTTAGACTTCACTTATGAAACTACTGCATAAAGTGACTGGTAAAGAATATTTAATGTTGCTATTCTCTTGATAATTGAAGTTTTTTCACTATCCCAATTAATTGGCAAATGAGAAAAGAACCTTTTTTTTTCTCAGCCACTTAGAATCACTCAAATATTGTTCTGCCTCTTTCCTGCTCTATTCCGTCTCAAATTCTTAGGGAATGTGTATATCTAATTTTGCTTTTTGCCAAAAAAGTGCTATTTTTGTGGAATCACACACTTTCAAATAAACCTTGAGAAAAAGATGTTACTGTTTTGTCTTCATAAGAGAGAAACTGTGGCTGTAAGATACTATGCTTCTTGGAAGAAGGTGCTAAATACATATTAGCGTCTTTCGTAGAAATTCCACTCAGAAAAAGAAAAAAAATCAGTGAAAAGATGGCAAAAAATGAGATAAAATGAACATAGTGAACCGGAGATAGTAGATAAATTAAGATGTTAAATGTCCAAAAATATCAGTAATAATAACTGAACCAATTCCTCCACTTAAAAGACAATGATTGTCAGACTGGATTTATTTACATGTACATCCTTTAAGGAGGTGTGTTTAAAATATAAGGATGCATAAAAGCTGAAGTAAATGATGAGAATTGAGTTCTGTGTAATAGGTAGTTGACCCTTGAACAAGACAGGTTTGAACTACACGGGTCCACTTAGGCATGGATCTTCTCCAGGACACACTTACTAAGGTGCTACCCGATCCCCGTAGTTGGTTGACTCTGTGCATGTGGAACCGTGGATAGGAAGGGCCCCTGTAAGGTTATGTGTGGATTTTCGACTGGTAAGGGCTGGTGTCCCGTCTCCCGTGTTGTTTAACTGTATAGCCAAAAGAAAGCCAGACCAGCTGTACTAATATCAGACAAAACAGACTTTAAGGCAAAAGACATCCCCAGAGAGATAAAGAGGGCTACTTGCTACCTAATGATTAAAAATTCAATTCACAAGGAAGAGAAGATAGTTCTAAACTTGTATGCACACAATAGCATGACATAACCTTAAAACTGATGAAGCAAAAATGAGCAAATAGAAGGAAAAGTAAATCCACCTAATAGTGGGAAATTTTTACAGACCTCTCTTGGTAATCAGTAGTTCAAACAGACTCCCTACCAAAAAAATCAGTATATAGGATTTCTAAATAACACGAGTTAATATACTGGACATCTTTACAATACTGTACCCAACAGCTCCAGAAATACATTTCTAGCACACATAGAAGATTTCTGAAAATTGGTGACATATTAAATCAAAAGCGGGTCTCAAAAATATTGAAGGAATATTATCACAATGGATGACCTCCTCTGATCATACTGAAAATAAATTAGATGTTAAAAAGATAACAAAAACTCCCATCTATTTGGAATTTAGGAAACATCTAAACAATTCATGAGACAAGGAAGAAATCATAATGGAATTTAGACTAAAGTATCTAGAATCGAATGGCAATGAAAATAATGTCTATTAAAACTTGTGGAGATGGCTAAAATAATACTTAGAAATCTATATTCTTTATATGCTTATAATAAAAAGGCGAAAAGTTGAAAAATGAATAGACTAAGCATCCATCTTAAGGTGAAAGAAAAAGAAAAACTCAAAAGAAGGAAGAGCAGAAATTAATGAAATAGGGAGTAAATACAGAGAGAGCGAGCCAACAGTGTCAGAAAGGTGATGTCCCGAGGGTAAAAGTTTCTCTCTCTCCACTTATTTGGATCTTTAATTCCTTTCAACTATGTTTTATAGTTTTCAGCACACGGGGGAAAGGACAGTCATTTCAACAATGGGTACTGGGACAAAGGGATAGCCATGTGGGGGGGGAGATGAACTCCGACACTTGTCTCACATACAAAAGTTAACTTGAAGTGGATCATAGACCTCAGTTTAATAACTACGCTATAAAACATCTACAAGAAACATAGGAGAAAATCTTAGTGATCTTGGTGATGGCAGAGATTTCCTAGATATGATACAGAAAGAACAAAGTGTTTTTTTAAGTCAACAAATTGGATTTCATCATATATTTTTAAACTTGCTTTTTAAAAGACACTTCCAAAATGAAAAAGCAAAGGCAATATTTGAAAGACACAGATTTAGCAAAGGACATATCTAGAATACGTAAAAGAACTCTTACAACTTAAGAAGAAGATAACCCAAGTTAAAAGTGGGAAAAGACTTGAATAGACACTTGACCCAAGAAGTTATAGACATAGCAAATAAACTTATGAAAAGATGCTCAGTATCAGTAGTTGTTAGGGAAATGTAAATTAAAACTTCAGTGAGATAATACTGTACACCCACTAGAATGGCTGAAGTTAAAAAAGACTGGCCATACCAAGTGTTAGTGAGAGGGCAGAGGGGCAGAGCGCTGGAACTCTCGTACACTGTTGGCATAAATGTAAAATGGTACAACCACTTTGAAAAACAGCTTAGTAGTTGCTGAAAAGTTGATCATATACCTGTCATACAATTCAGCCGTTCCACTCTTAGGTATTTCCCCCAAATCATATATCCACCCAAAACCTGTACTTGAATGTTCCTGGCAGCCTTATTTGTAATGGTTCAAAACTAGAAACAACCCAGATGTCCGTCAACAGGCAAATGGGCAAACATCCTTACAGTAGAATTCTACTGGACCAAGAAAGAAAACAGTTATATATGGACCTCAAAGTGATTGTGCTCAGTGAAAGAGCCTGGACCCCTCCCCACCCCCCACCAAAAGCAAATTTATATAAAATGCTTAAAAAAATACGGTCTAATCTAGAGTGATAGAAAAAAAGATAGCGGTTACTGACAAGGGTGTGGGGCACCTCGTACACATCTGTTCTATGTTGAATAAAGACTTGGTGTTTTAAAAAAAAACAAAAACAACAAAAAAAGGAAAGACTTGAACATGAAAAAACCCCATAAAACTTTGAGAAGGCAGTCTGGGAGAACATCGTGATCTCAGAGTGGAGAAGGATTTAAGACAGAAAACAAGAGGAAAAAGTGGATACATTTAGTAATGTTCAAATTTATAACTTAAATTCCTCCAAAAAAAAAAAAACCCACCACTATGAAAAGAACTGGGGAGAAAAATACTTATGGCACAATAATTGACAAAGAATTACTATCTCTGTAGAACTCCCATGACTTAAAAAAGGTAACCCAGTAGATAAATGGGCAAAAGATATGAGCAGAAGTATCATATCAAGAGGAGTCCCAAATGGCCAATAAACATGAAAAGAGGTTTAACCTCCTAATTGAGACAAATGTGAATTATAGTCAATATTAGAGCCCACTTCACATTCCCTACTTCATACTGATAAAAATTTAAAGGTCTCTATCAAATGTTGACATGGATATGAAGCAACCAGAACACATATTCACTCTTAGAAAGTAAATTGGTACAAACATTTGGGAATCTGTTTGTCATCATCTACTAATGTTAAAGATGTGCCAGTGCTGAGTCCCAGGAATTCCACTTGTAGTATGTACACCAGAGAAACTCATGCATGTGGGTACCAAGAATGTTCACAGCAGCACTGTAGTAGCAAAAACCTGGAGGCAGTCCAGATTCCAGTAGCAGTAGAGGAATTGTGGTATGGCTCTCCAAGGGAATGCTATACAGTCATGCAAAAGATGGCTCAGTTATAGCAGCAAGGAAGACTCTTAAGGACAAAATGTAAGGGAAAATATTAGGAACAAAATCTTAGGAACGAAATGCAAGTTATAGAAGAATACATACAACATGGTTAAATCTTTAAGTACACATATAAATGTTGTAAAACTATAAAGAAAAGCAGGGGAAAGATAATTCCAGAAAATGGTTACTTTGAAGCGGGGAAGAAGTAGGATGGAGATAAAAACTCTGGCTCACTGAGGACTTCAAAACAATAGTCTTGTTCTTGTTGTATAATTGGGTGTGTTTGTATCGTGTTTATATTTTATATTTATTGATTTTACAACTGGAATCTATACAACAGTTACTAAAGTTAAAAAAGTGTAAATTGTAGAATTTAGCATATGACTAATAGTGTACCTGCTCTTGTATACCTGCAAGAAAAGAATGATTTTTGGGGGGGAGGTGGGAAGCAAATCATAATGAGTTCTTCCCCATCACTTAGGTTTGATGATTTAAATTTCCTCTTGGTAAAAGTTTTTCTCCACCCTCCCACCCCATTTTCTCTGCCCTGCTGCCCCTCAATTTATAGGAGAGATTTGAAGCACTTTTCACCATCTATGATGACCAAGTTACATTTCAGTTGTTTAAAAGCTTCAGAAGAGTCAGAATAAATTTCAGCAAACCTGAGGCAGCAGCACGGGCTCGAATAGAACTCCACGAAACAGACTTCAACGGGAGGAAGCTGAAGCTGTATTTTGCACAGGTACTTACTTCATTGCAAAGGACGGTGTTCTCCAGACTTGTTTTTTCTCCATCCAGAAATACTGTCAGTTCACCATTTTCTCTGTTATTATATCAGAGGTTTTTGAAATGAGCAATCCAAATCAGCAGGTCATGTAACAATATTTTTTTTCTTTATTTTACAGATACATACTTTTATTTATTTATTTATTTATTTATTTATTTATTTGTTTGTTTGTTTATTTATTAAGCATATTTACTCTCTTAACTTGTTTTGCTTAGACTAACAGTTGAAGAAATTCTCTTTTCTGGCAGCTTTTCTCAACTGGGGTTGAGAGGGTTAAGCCCTAACACTTTAGGGTCAGTGAGTTAACTTTTCTGCACATCTATGTGCAGAATGACATTTGTGACATGACATCCTTGGGAGAAGTGAAAAAGCAGTCTCTGCAGTCGTTTCCACGCTCTGTGACTCACATGAGGCACCCACTGAAAATGGCTCCCAGCCCAAGGGGTGAGCAGAGATTCGGCACAGCCTGTGGTGCATCTTAGACTTTGGAATTGCAGAGCATCCTGCAGGTTACCAAGAATTGGCCATACTTAACTGTTCTAATCCTACACTGATAGGACTCTGAGAAACCAATTTCTTCTTGGAAGAATTAGTGAAATAAATAGACCATGTGTTAAGTGCACTGTTTTATTTTCAACAAAGCGCTTTTTCCCTTGGTCTTAGCTTGGTCTTAGCTTTCAAAGTGGAAAAAAAAAAACAATTTTAAGGGGTTTGTTGTCTCACTCCAAATGAAAACCTATCTTTGGACATTTCTTGATGGAGATGATGGAGACGGTATAACCTAATCTCTTCCAAAATTGGGATTCAGTGCTTATTACCACTCTTGGTCATTCATCTAGTCATCAGGTTATTTTTCTATTCAGCTAATATTTATTTAGCACCTAATGCTCTGTGCTGGCCACTGAGTGTTCAAAGATGAATCAGACAGAACCAGACCCAATCACTGGGAGATACAGACTTTTTTTAAATTGAAATATAGTTGGTTTACAGTGTTGTGTGAGTTTCTGGTATATAGCATAGTGATGCAGGTATACATTTATATCTGTTCTTTTTCAGGGGAGATGTAGACTATTAAAGAGAAATTTTTAAATTTTTAGTTTTCTCCAAAGAGATGTTATAGTTAATGTAAAGATAAAAATGAAAAAATAGCCCAGTCATAAATTTGAAGTGCCTCCTTCCCTGCAGGTACAGATGTCCAGCGAAACACGGGACAAGTCATATCTACTGCCACCCCAGCCTGTCAAACAGTTCCTCATCTCCCCCCCAGCATCTCCTCCCGTGGGATGGAAGCAGGGGGAAGACGCGATGCCTGTTATAAATTACGATTTACTCTGTGCTGTTTCCAAATTGGGACCAGGTAACAAACTTCTGTCCTTCCTGTTTTTTCTTCCAAGAAACTTTTGTAGTAAAGACCTCATTCAGCAGTTTGTGTTCTAGCCAACAGGTGATAACATGAGCGGCTTGGAGGACAAAGTCAGGCAAACCTGAGTTCAAATTCTAGCATTTGCTAACTTTGTGATCTTGAGCAAGTTACTTAGCTTCAATTTTCTGAGCCTCTGTTTTCTCATCTGAAATAGGGACCATAATAGCTACTTTTCCACATGGTTATAAGGATGAAATGATATATGTAATAATCAGAGTGCAGTTTTTACTGCTACAAATTCTAATACATAACAGATCATTAGTGAATATTAGTTGCCGTCAAAATAGTAGACAGACAACTTGTACGTTGAATAGTATTGCAAGGAATTGGTAGTGATACCACGTCATCCCTTCCAGATTCTTCTCTTGTATTTATTTTTTATTTCTTCTGTTCCTTCTTTTTAATTTCTCTAACTCCCTCATCCCTTTAAACTAATACAAGAAATCAGTGCATTGTTCGTTCACACTAGTTGTCCACCTAAAATAATGTTATGTTTTTTATAGGCGGTATGAAAGGCATTTTGAAGGGAAGTGGCCAGTGGTTTTTTAGATATCAGAGCTGTATCTTGGATCTCTGAGGTCCTTGGAACTTTACAGGTGTCTCCCACGGGAAAACTGGAACCCATTATGAAGTTAAGCAGATACACTTGTGCTGTTCATAGAACAGCAATTAGCATTTATACTTTAACTTCCAAGACCTCAACACTCTTCACTAGATAATTTCTTGAAATGCCAAAACTTTATAGGAACCTTAAAGCGTCAAATCTCTAATGCCAAAACAAGATAAAGTACCCTGACATAGGATTTAAGGATTGAAAAACCAATGATCAGCTATTAAAATGTGTGTAGAACCAGAAGTTTCAAGGGACAAAACTCTTCCTTCTCTGTTTATCTCCACAGGAGAGAAATACGAACTTCACGCAGGCACTGAGTCCACACCGAGCGTGGTGGTTCATGTATGTGAAAGTGAAACTGAAGAGGAAGAAGAAACAAAAAACCCCAAACAGAAAATCACGCAGACACGGCGCCCCGAACCTCCAGCCACCACGCTGAGCGAGCCCCAGACCTTCGACTGTGACTGTGCACTGTGAGGCCCTGATTGTGGGGCGAGGAGCTGCCAGTGCCAGCATGGGGTGGGCTTGGATGGGGGACCCCTGCCGACCGCCCACCATCTCAGCAAGGCCAGGAAGGAGCAGGGTGTCCACACTGTGGACGGGGTAGTACAGAGAAGCAGCCGATTTTGCCTGTTCAAAGTTTTAACTGACTGTTCTGAACAGCACTTTAAATTAAGGGATTAGCCCCCAACACTGACAACATGTTGACCATTTTTAAACAGTAGCAAATTAGGGAAATGGCTACCCCCAGTTCGTTTCCCTGACTCGGTATAGCATCGTACCCAAAACGAAAACCATATTCCTAGAGTGCAGTACCATTTTCATTTGAGTAATCTAGTGTGGGTGTTTTTGTTATAGTATATTGGCTTCCACTTAATCTACTGGCCACAGGTTAATTGCTGTTCAATACACATGGAGGGTTTTGCACGAAGTGCAAAAGTGTAGAAGTGAAGTGTAGAATACTTTACAGAAGATCATTTTTCTTAAGTGGTTTTTTTTCTTTAGCTTCGGGAAAGAAATGTCAGATTCACTTTACTGTCAGAACCAAGTGGCCCCAACGTGTGCGCACTCCTCTCGTCCCTGTACTGTCACTGGCAGAGGAAAGGGATGCGCCGTCCCTCCTCGAGCTGCAGCTTTGGAAGCTTGACTGACTGTGACCTCTGGCGGCCACCGCGCCCTGCCATTTGTGACCATGTCCTGGCCGGTAGCGTTCGACTGTCTCCAACCACGAGTTGAGGTTTTTTCTGTTATACCTGTTTGTGTGTTGTCATTCACAGACTATACATTAGACAAGGTAATAGTAAGATTTTCTGAAGACCACTTTTAAATTGTCCACTTAAATCTTTTTCAGTTGGCTTTGAAAGAAAAGCCACACACCTTTTTTTTCTGTGAATTAGGGAGAGATGGGGCAGAAGATGATGGTTTCATTAGTCAGACTTTTCTTTTTGGTGTAACTTTTTTACCCTGGCCTCCCGTTGTCATTCTCCCATTGTCATTTTCCGTTAAAACAGAATTGTTTCCTGCTTGTGTTTCAGTGTATCCTTGAACCTGCTGAAGTAGAAGCAGGCATCTTATTAACTCTTTGTGATCCATTCAGACTTCGAAGTCCCTTTTGTAGAAAAGTGTTGTAACTAAGAATGCTTTGCTTTGGGTTAGGTGGCTCTGTTGATTCTCTGCACACTCTGAGGTTTTCTTTGTGTGGCAAGAGTCTGGAGCTCCCTGGGGTATTCGTGAAGGGACATGTGAGTTTGGACTAACACACCAATGTGGCTGCCACTACAAAGGAAGGAAAATGCAGAAATTCAGGCCATGTGCTGTCTGTATGTTTCTGGTAACATGTTTCTGTGATTTAGATGTTCTTATTGTGGTAGAATTTATTTCTGATGTCTTAAACTTTATTGCAAAAAAAAAATCTATATTTTCCTTCCCCTCAAGTACTCTGAGATGATCAACTCTTCTATTTGTAGATACCCACCACTGCTAAGCCTCAATGTAAATTCAGTTGAAATTTGTGATTCCAAAAGCAGTTTATTAAATTCATCATTTGACAGTTTAACTGGCAGTCACTTATTAAATTTACTTTGCAGTTCTAAATTCAGCCTTTTGCCAATTTTTAATCTTATCTGGGTATACTACCTTATCACTGCAGAATGGACCCTGTAAGTCAGGAAATGTGTGTATTTTCAACATTTGGAAGGGTTTGAATCACCTTTTAGGTCATATTTTACCTTTGAAGTAATTTATTCACTATCATTTTCTAAGTGATCAAAAGTCATGATGTTTTATTATTTGGCTTGGCTTTCATGCTCTACCTTCAAGTTAAAGAATACTCTATCCCTAACTAAAACTTTCCTCTAAAGTCAAGTAATGCCAATTACCTGAATTTTTCTTTTTTTTTTTTGAGTGTTGAGTAAATTGAAGAAAGACTTAAACCAAAATTAAATATATATTAAATAATATATATTTTATGTAATATGTAATTATTTAATATATATTAAACTTTTCTGAGTGGAGAACATTAATATTTTCATTTTTTCTAGTATAGTACTTCCATAAGGTAAACTCTGTGAAAAACAACTAAATGCCCATTAACTTTTTAACATTGTGAAATCAACCACATGTTATGGTCTCTTGTCCTTTTTTGGTTATTTTGTGTCCAGTTCACATATCCATCTTGTGAGAGGTGAGTCTCATCCATCTTTTTTTTCAAGTTCCTTTTAATAATTTTATCTGCATTTTTTTCTTCTTTGAAATCAAGTCATTGCTTAGATTTAACTGATACTACAGTAGCCATGTTTTCTATAGAAATCATAACATCCTCTCAGGAATCAATTTATTGAGACAGTTATGAGGAAAGAAGATGGTGTTTTGGGTTAAGAAAAAACATTTGTGAAGGGTAAGAAAACCAAAGCACTTAGTAAGGAGAGTTGATGGAACCTGCGCCGCATTGGCTCTCATGTTCTTGCTTCTTTCAACTCACTCACCTGACGAAACCAGAAGTTAATCCATTTAGTACTTGTGGGAGCATCTGCTAGTTTAAGATGCTAAGAGGCAGAAACAGTAAGAGCAGTTCTCTTACCTGAGAGCGCTGAAAATCAGGTGGAAAGCAAACTAGTCGTTTCACATTCTGCTCCTTCAAAATGGTGTGCGCTAAAACCTGTCAATAACGAACAACCAAGTAAAAGCTCCTGGGAACTTTCAAGTTCAACATAAAGGTTTAAATATACTTTGTGGTTGATGGCGTGTTTGAATTAAAGAGCTACAGGAGTTAGAGTTGGGCTCAGCACTTTCGTTCTTACAGTTGTTTGTGTTTCCCATTCACATTAATTCCATCTTTTAAGAATGTTGTGATCTAAAGTGAGAAGACTTGATTTCTCAGAATCTCAGCTACAAAGCTGCAGGTGACTTTGGAAACCGTATAGTTGTGTTACTCGGACTAGAAAACAGGAGATGAGACTTGCTGCAAAGTCCATGGAAAGGCAGCCCCGGTTCTAGAATTGGCATTCATTCCCAACTCCCAGGCTAGGGCTTTCTCTACTTTTTCTTGCATTAGCCTCTTAAAGACACTCAGAGACAGTGAACCCCAGCCACAAGAAGACAAAAACAAAAAAGGAAAAAGTTATTTTTCTCCTGTTGGGATACAATGAATAAGATAAATCTTAGCTGATGAAGTCAGTGACTTAGCAGTTTTAATGAATGAATTTGATGTTCCATGTTTTGTGTTTTTGTTGTCATTGTACCATTGGGTTTGGAATCCTTTTAAATAATGTTATGTTGATAGGCAGCAGCTGCGCTGACATTTAATCCAATTTGAGTTTGGAGTGGAGTGACACTCACTCACTGCTTGTAAACTGGAGTCCTGTTAAATATTGAAGCCTGACCGTGCTTCATATTTTTACATAGACTCTTTTACAGACCGTGGCTTTATTTTTTAAAGGAAAATTTCAAGCATAATTAAGCAATGGAAAATGTACAAAATTCTTTGGTGCGTCAGGTTCACTGTCTGCTGGTTCCCTTTCTTTTCTGCAGAGTTGTGTACTTCATCCCTGTCCTGCAGGTGAGCGTGCTCAGTCTTTCCCTTCTTTGCACATTTGCAGTTATATATTCCAGTGTGAAAGGAAATAAATTACTTACGATAAGTGTGACAATAAAAAGAAACGAAAGACTTGGCAAAATTGTTGCCTCCTAGCTGAGGAGGTAAGTCCACATTGTAGAACCTCACCTTTTAAGAAGTTAAATAAGTTTAAAGAATAAGATTTATGAACCTTGTCCAACAATTTGGTAAATGCATGTTTTTTAAACTTTTGTTGGAGTGGAGTCACATAGAACCTCTTCATTTAAATGCTGTTATTTTTTAAATCATGAATTGGGAGAATGGTAATAATTTGGAGAGTGTTGTTATTATTACCAAATATACGGTCAACAGAGCAACTGAAATTTGCAACAAATCCTAGGTTCACTAACGAAAAAAGTTATGAAAATGGTCAAGTATAAAATAGAAGTTTCTGGCCATGGCTAAGAAGAACTAACTAAACTTGGGCTGAGTCAGTGTCTCTGTCCATTTAAATGAAAGTTTAAAGACTTTTCACTTGACTAGCCGTGCGGTCTATCTTGTAAACCTACATTTCCTCTTGAAACAAAACCATGTTCTTCATGCTCTTGGAACTCCCTCGGAGAGAGGCTGAAAGTCCATCCTTGTCATGAGGGAAGACTTATATCTATGCAGCGAATGTGTGTTTTTCTGTATTGTTGTCTATTTAGTCCCCAATCCTCCTCCCTCACGTTGGGGACTGAGGAGGGAGGGGCAAAGGTGGCTGATCTCGTTGGTGTGCTGTTCGTCCCACTGCTTCTCCGCCCAGGGGGCCCCAGTGCTTTCGTGTCTGCTGCACTGTGCGTATTCTCCAAGTTTAAGGAAAGTTTCTCCATCATTTCACTTCTGTCTTATTGAACCCAGGGGTTGAACTTACTGTTTTATCTGAACATGTTTGTGATCTTGTGCTGCATTCTGGGGGCACATTACCTTCCTGGTACTATAAACTGTAGTGGGTATTATTGTACTTCAGAAAGCTCGTCAGTGCTTCCCGTCTGTGAATTCCACATTTCACTGTGCTTCAAGTGGCGATTCATAGTTTGTAGCCCTTGGTTTTTTGTCAGCTTTGGCTCTTCCATATTTTGGGGACATTTAAACATTCCTTGTCCTATCGTGGTGATAAAAGCAGAATGTCATTTTGGGGGGAATCTTTGTGATCAATTGTAACAAGTTTTGTTTTTAAAGCTAATAAATTTAGTGTTTTGGTTTTTTTTTAATCAATCCTTTGAATTGAGTTCTTTGTGTGTAGTATTTTCAATAAGTATCACTTACGTGTAGGTAATAACACAAAAAAGGCAGACAAGTGAAATACTGTTTGTTCCCAGTTGAACATCAGTGCTGTTTGTACCAGAGTTAAAGGTGGTGACTCACTGCCAGCTGTGGAAATAACCACTCTGGTTTGTGTTCCTCACCAAGAAAACTGTTTGCCACCGTTTGCTCCTCAGTTAAAAATGAATTATTCTTATTAAAGGTTTATTTTCTGTCTTGGTTTAAAAAAAAAACCCAATCAAAGTTTTGAAGCTAGAAATGACTGTGGAAGTTATCTAGTGCTGCACTGACTTCATATATATATGTGTATATATATATATATATATACCCACTGAACTCTGCTCTTTTTTCAAATAAAATCATATGTAAAGCCCAGTGTAAAACAGATTACCCCCCCAAAAAAAAAAAAAAAAGCAGAGCTGCTCCTTTTGAAGGGGACAGAGGGTGGGGAGAGACCCAAAGGCCCCTCCGGCCCCTGTGAGAGCTCCCAAAACAGTCCAGAACACACAGATCTAGTTCAGTGGCCTCCACGCCTCGCCCTCACAGCCCCAATCACATCCCTACAAGTAAACGGCCCAAGAGGCCTTGCCAGAGTCCCACATCTGGATGGTAGCCCACCTGGGACTAAAATCTTAAGTTTCTTGCCTCTGTTCCCAGGTCTTTTTTGCCACACTCTCCTACTCTATTAAACAAAAATCGTTGATTTTTCAGGAAAAAACATGTTAGGATTCAAAGATTCTTAAAATTGTGTTTTTATTTATTTCTTTGTTTTAATAGAACTCAGAGTCGCTGTGGACATTGCAGTTTTCACAGATGCGCTTCAAGCTGTGTTCTGGGGGGCGGCCTCCAGGTGGAGCTGAGCCTCCAGTTGCCTTCACTCTGCTTCTATCTGTTGTGCACAACGGTCTTAGAATAGGATTTCACTGGTGCTAAGGAGTCCTTGGCTAAAACGGCAAGTTGAAAAACTGCTGCAAATAACCTAAAGATAAAGCATTGTTTTAATACAGAAGAGAAAGTACAATAATAAAGGTTTAAGTAATTTACCTCATAAAAATAGACTGACTTAAAAGTTAAATTCAACAATAAATGTATCATCACCAAGAAACATGCTAGAATAGATCTGAGGAGTGAGAAGTAACCCACTCTGCCTTCATTGAACGCCTCAAAATATAGTTCTAATCTAGAAGGAAAAAAGATTTAAATTCTTAAGCTTATAGGAAAGATCACAAATCTTGCCAAACTTCCCCTTGTCTTGAGGCACAGAAGGTATAAATATGAGTAATTTGTAGATTAGGCATTTAAATCGAGTGTCTCAAAATTTGTTATTTGGGAAATGTTTGTGGTCTGAAATATTTGGAAAAGTTAAACAGTTTCTATGTTGCGATGCTTCTAGGAACTTTTAAATTTGCATATTCTGAATCTCCAAGAGGATATGCTGTATTTATCAAGTTTAATAAACTATGGAACCCTTTTTACCCAGAAATGTTTCATTGCACTGGTACTCGAAGAATATTTAGAGAAACATTCTACTAAAATCCTGACTTTAGCGTAATCAGTTAAAGGATAGGTTTGCAAATTAAAATGTCTTTATTAATTTCTCTAAGCAAGAGTATTTTTAGATTGGGGCATCAGAAAGAGCCTGCCTGGTTTAATGAATGGGAAAACCAAGTTAATGAAACTATTGGAATCTCTAAGAAGGTACAGCAAAGTTGCCAAATATAGTAATTACTTAGAAAAATAGGTAGTGTTTCCTTCCACTATCAATGGCCAAACTGTAAGCAATAAGGTACCATTCATAATTGCAACAAAACATCAGTGGAAGCAAACCTTCAAACGCTAATAAGAATATGGATAATTATCTAAGTATATGCTCTTAAATGGGGTAACAATATTTTCAGAATGTCAGATTTTCTGCCCATTAATCTATAAATTTAATGAAATCTCTGTCAAAATGCCAGCCATATTTTTTATGATAAACTCATCAAACTTACTCTAAAACTTTTTTGGGAGAATAAAGAAACAAATTGTTAAGATGACCTTAAAAAGAAAAAAGTTGAAGACATGCCCTACCACGTATGAAGACAACCTACAAAGTCAAATGACATCAGAGCAAGAAAAGGCAAATAAACTAAAGAAAAATAATAGAGACAACCCATGTCTATGTGAGAATTTAATATACTATAAAGTGCCATCATAAATAAATGGAGAAAGGCTTAGATTGTCTAGTAGATGGTTGGGGAAACTGGCTTAGCATGTGTAGGCAAATAAAAATTGGTTCCCCATCAAACACCACATACACAGATGGACTCCAGAGGAATTTAAGACCTAACTATAGAATGTAAAACTATAAATGTAACAGAACAAATTGTAGGAGAATGCCATTGCGACCCAGAGACGGGGCAAGACTTCATGAAACTTTAAAAGCATAGCTGTTGTGTAAGTATAATTTGATCACATTGAAATGAATGATTTGGGTTCCATGAAGACTGCCATGGACAGTGTTGACCATAGGGAACAGATTTGCAGTCCTAACATGGGATAACTATAATACGCAAGGAAGTTTTGGAAATCAAAAAGAAAAGCAGCCCAATAGGAGAATGGGCTAAAGGATACAAACAGCAATCGACAGAAAAGGAGAAAGTGAGCCTGTGAAGAGGCACTCTAGTCCAGTAATCAGGTAAGCGTAGATTAAAACAAGATGCCACTTTACACTGTTGGAGTCTCAAAAATGTAAAAAGCAAATAATGCTTAATCTAGCCAGAAGGTGGGGATGTAAGAAATCTGATAAAACACTGGTGGGAATGTAGACTGGTTGAGTTACTCTGAAGAACTATTTCCCAAGAGCATCCCAAAGACATTCTCATACAGGTCCATAAGGAGGCATCTTGAGAATGTTCATTGTGCCATTATTTGTGGAGGCAAGCTGGTGTCCCCAACTGGGAAGTTGACACTGTGGAGAACTATAGGGCAAGAGTGTAACCATATACACAACAGCAGGGATGGGTCTTAAAAACAGAGCTGAAAGACAAAAAGTGAGAATCAGTAAGGTGTATAGAATAGTTGCATGACGTGAATTAAAATGCAAAGATGGTGATCACTGCACAAGAATATATACAAATAAAAGATACACATTAAACACATAGGTACATATGTAAGAGGCACCTTGCACTGGTCAATGATGATGATGTGCCGTGAACTGAGAAGTCTGATTTACTAGTAGACTTTACATAACCTTTATATAGACTTTAAGAAGCTACTAATACACACCTCAGTCTCTTTCCTCCTTTGATTCTACATTAAGTTTAGTTATGGTATTATTCTTTATTATTGCTCTAGAAGAAAATAGTTTGCTGTGATTTGTTTAGGTGAAATAGAGATTTTATTGGAGATACTTGTGCCTTGTAGGATAAATATTTCAAAAAAGTATCAGGTACTGCCTATTCTCTCGTTGGATGTGTGTATATAAATGCTTCCTCCAAGTAAGTGACATAGATCCTTTACTAACCCATACTCTCATATGGATAGAAAAAATATACCCACCATTCATGGTTCTCTGAGCTACAAATAAGCAATGGCACGTGGTTTGACTCTAGACTTACTATTTCCTCTTGCTTCAAAGAAGTAATCAAATTATTTCTTGGCCTGGTGCTGTCTTTCTTCAGTGTGTTTTGAATAATTGAGATTTTGAATGGAGAATTATACAATCTTCTGTCCTGAGAGATCTGACCAGGCCTCTTGGCCCCAGGAGAGTTATTAGACCAAAACTGATTTCTCAGAGGTTGCCTGCATGAGTCCTTTGAATAAAAGATCTTTTATGGGCCAAATTTACAAGTCTTCTATTACTTATTTCCTTTATAACTTTAATCATCTCTGAGACTATTTATTAGAAATTTCTAACAGCTGTTGGAAAGTCTAGAATAGAGAGTTGTCTCTTTTGCAAATGAGAAGCAGCCCTTGGGCACTGATTTACCAGCGCCCCTGCAAATTCTAGATGAATTAGTGAGTTCCATTGTGAAAGACACAGCTGTCCTCCAACTCAGTTCCAGGCTTCAACTTCCCTGAACTGTCCACACAGGAATGGAGTACCTTAAAATGTGTTTCCCTGAAGAGAGGTTTACTAATTGTTCATGCTGGAGAAAGTTAAACTGCAGGTTTAATAACGCTCCATTACAGAGTACATTAGTTATCTATTACTGCATAATAAATCAGCATAAAATTTAGCAGCTTCAAACAACAAAACATTTACTATCTCACAGTTTCTGAGAGTCAGGAGTCTGGGGTATCTTAAGGTGATGGCTCAGGGTCTCTCAGAAGGTTACATCAAGGAGTCAGCATGGCTGCAGTCACCTGAAGGGACTAGGGGACCCGCCTCTGAGCTCACTCACATGGCTGTTGGCAGGAGGCTTCAGTTCCTCACCACAGGGTCTCCCCATAAGTCTGCTCACAGGGCTTAGGGCTGGCTTTTCCCAGAGTGAATGCTCAGAGAGAGAGCCCAAGGTGGAGACTTTTTATAACCTGATCTCAGAAGTGACATGCCATCACTTCTGCCATATGCTGCTGGTCACGCAGACCAACACTGGTAAGGTGTGGGAGGAGAGAGAGGTGCTCGTGCAGTCCTGAGAGGGGAACGTATAGCTCTGCACGCCAAGAGGAGGAGTTGAAAAGGTACAGGGTTAGAACTCTCCCTTCAGCTCTCAGCTCTCCATACCTCTGCGTCTCTTTGGTCACTTCATCCCCTCTTACTGCAAAAAGGACTTTTCCCTCAGAATAGAGACCACAGCAGCCAACCACTTAAGCAGAAGATGAACTTTCTAGAATTCCAACCTAGGGGAGGATTCTGATCAGCCCATCCCTGTGGCCAAGTCCTTTACCCCAGAAAGGGAAACAGAAGAGGGGCAGACGAAAACACCGTGGAAGCACTTCAATATACTGATGAAGTTCAGAAAGCC